TTTTTTTTCACGACTTTTTTGACCCATTGTTAGTTATTTAAATTTTTGGATTGAATCATTCTTTTTTTTTTTTTTTTGCGAGAGAATATTACATTAATATTTTTTTTTTATAGAAAAACAATGAAATTTCCATATACAGGTCCTGCTATTTAACCCATAGCTGGGACGGGGAGATTAATTTATACCTTTAACAATGTCATTGTGCATAAGTGGATGTAACGAACTTGATTGGAATTCGAACTCGCCTCTCCGATTTCTCATTCCGAGCCGCTATCAATTACACCACTCGCACACCCTATCAGAATTCGAACTCGACACTTCGATTCCGCTTTCTGCATTGATAACATTAGACGATTCTCATATCCATGTCAGAATAATAGCGAGAAAATACATGCCAAGACGGAAACCTGTGCAGTGACGCGTTTCGTTTTGTAAAGAAACCTCACCTTTTCCGCTTTTATATAAAACATTGTTTATATATAGAAAATAACAACAACGATACATTCATTTTTATACATGAAACAGTTTCTTCTCGGAATGAAACGCGTCATTGCACAGTTTTCCGTCATTTTTGTTTAATAATGTTCACCCAATACAAGGCACAAGAGCAACTTAAGGTAGAGGGCTACTGTGTGGAGTTGTATTAGCGTAAGCACAATAGTTAGGAGTATAGAGCTGAAGTAGACTTTAGAAGGAATCGGCAACCCAATCCTAAAAATGAACCAAGTGATAAATCTCTACTTCTGTTCGAAGACCGGGGAGCTTTATTTCCTTTCTCTCCCTCTACATACATACATATATATAGAAGAAGAAACTTAAAAATATACACATAGATAGATAGATAGATAGATAGATAGATATTGAACAGAATTAGATAAATACAGCGATAGATAGATAGATAGATAGATAGATAGATAGATAGATAGATAGATATGAAAAGCCTAAGCAAAATAATTTCAATAGATTTTTATCAGTCCTTTGTATTGGACCGTAGAGATTTAGCGGCCACGTGTGACAGCAAGGTTCACTTCTTTCGTTTCACATATGGACACGAGAGAAGCATACTGGGGTAAAATGAAGGCTTTTAGCAAGCCGACATATTGGAAATCAATCACGCACACTTCAAATCCTATGTACACACATTTAAGAAGCATAAAGGCTGATAGAGAGATACGCCTCCCTGCTTTTTGACCCTTTCACCTTTTCTTATTCTTATTTCTTTCGTTCCATTATAGTTACAAACCCCTATCTAGTGTAATCTTAAAAGCGGTTGATTTTATCCTCGTGTTCACGTGTAAATAAAATACTACGCACCCTCTGCGAAAGCTATCGTCACAGTATTGCGACTATAGCTTTAAGTGAATGCACACGCACAGACACGTGACATGATCACATTTGGATAACAGCCTCGTTCTGGCTGTCCCCTGCTATTCGACGATGTGTCCCTGCGGAAAAGATAAGAATTGGGGGAATTATGTGAGATATAAAAAAAAGGAAAACATTACTTTTAGCATGAAATGCCAAAATGAAAACAGTCACGGGAACGAATAAAACGGCTAACATTATTCCATAATATTTATATATACTTCAAAGTTTTCGAGGACTTTGGAAGATAAAAAAAGAAACTGGTTTAATGTTGTTCCCACATTTGAAGAAAGGATATTTTCTAAGATATTCACAAAATTCTGGTACACGTTTAAATTCATGAAGTCCGGAAACCAGCGACAGTAGTTTGTCGGAAACATCTTATAACAATGCGATACTACATTTTTCATAGGTAAAATAATTGTTTAGTCAAATTAACGTCGGCCGATTCGAGGGTATGTGGTTTCGGGTCTTTCTTCGAAAGTTCGATCTTCTATTAAAATCCTTCTATTTAGTCTACTAACCATTGATTGGTGTAAAAGATTACTACATCAAGAGTTAAAAGAGAACTTGAAAAAGAAAACAAAAATCTGTTCATTTTTTTTTAACAAGGAAATAACTGTGGGTAGCAGAAACTGCCAATATGGAAACAAAATTATATATTTTCCAAACGTTCACTTCCCGCCATTGCTGCTGAAATTTCCTGCCGCCACATAAATAATGGCAGCTGTCAGCTTGTCTATATTCGCCTAAATATTCGTTCGTCATGCCAAGCAACAAGCAAATATATATATATATATATATATATATATATATATATATATATATATATATATATATTGAGAAATGTTTCATTGAATAATTTAGACAAGTTTTGTCTACTTATTTTCAGTTGAATTCTTTCATATTCACGGACAAGGTTTTTGGTGTTATTATTAAAGAAAGAGAGAACATTACCGTGTTGATACATATTATTCCGAGTACTTTTGACATTAGCACAATGTTATCATCAGGGTGTTCTTTATTTCAAGACAAATATAGTAGTGTTCATCATTTTCAAAGACAAAATTGCTGTGTTCATCTGAAAGTTAATTTTTTTTTTTTTTACTAATGAAGTGAAGAACTCTAAGTTTACTGCAATTAGCCTGAGTAACGCTTCAGGGGAGGTAACTAAGTTATGAGGTGTCGAGATTTTTTTTTTTTTTTATGTATTAAAAGCTATTGGTACAAATCTCGATATTTTAAACTATTTGACCCAGGGCAGCGCTTTACACAGAATATTTGAAGCGCCAATTAACGAAAACTTCTAAAACGATGGGTTACTAGGTTTTATTCCGATTTTCTCAATGTTATATTTTAACTTCCACAACCCCCAATGATAACTAGGACAATAGTGGTATGAACATGTCACATTCTGGTAACTTCAATCCGAGGGTTGGTGTATTTCTTATGACTGTCATTTTATTTGACCTTGATATTATGGCAACCAGGAACAGCCACGTTGATAAGGAGGCATTTTTTCTTTTCAACGACGGCGATGTCTGGTTTGGTGATCTCAAGGATGCGGTCTGTTTGGATGTTAAAATTATAGAAGAAACTGACCTGGTTGTTTTCGATCACCTCTCGCTTGTGGTGGGAAAATTATTATTATTGTTGTTGTTTTGGTGCTGCTGATGATGTTATTTTTTTTTTTATTTAAATGTTAAATAATAACCAAAACTAAAGAAAGAAAAAATCCAATATTATGATTTGAAATAAAATCCAACCTGTCGTTTGTGTTCTAATTTGTAAATGGGGAGAAGTCGGCATTTACCATTTTTTTTTTTTTTTTTAATAATCATGGCGATTGTGTATGCCGTGTTTATATAACCCGCTTTTTCTGGTATTGCTTATAGCGGATAGATATCTCGGATCTTGATGCTTTGAGACTTTGCCTCTTCTGAAGATGTTTCTCAAGTTTGGAAATTAAAGTAGATTTGGCGGAAAATCTCTGGATTTCGGTCATGCCGTTTCTGGGTGGTCTGAGGTAGAGAAATCTGAAACTGGATGGAGATCGCCGTGAGTAGAGTTATACAAAGTTATCATCACCCTCACCGGAGAGAGAAAAAGCGACCGGCAGAGGAAAAGGACGAAGCAAAAAAAGAAGGTAAAAATGAAAAAAAAGAAGCAGGGTTTCAGAAAGGGTGGATGAACTGAAACTGAAGCAGTGGCAAGTGATAGAAACAAGTGAACACATAGAGGGGAGGTTTACGATAAATAAAAGAGAAAGAAAGAAAGGAAAAAATAAGCGGGAAGAACGAGTAAAAATGGATACACAAAAAGAAGGAAATGAAAGAGGTTTTAGACAAAGAGAAGATATAATAAGAAATCAGATGGAAAAAGAAAAGAGAAAAAAAGATTAATGAGAAGAAAAATACTTTCTGGTGTTATTTTTGACAAAAATTGAAAATGATAAAGAATTATGGGAAATATTATGTCTTACTTGAAAGGGGTTTTACGTTTATTGCATATAACAAGATGTGGAATAAGAAGGGTCACAAGAAAAGTTGGTGGGTGGAAGAATCGTCTGCGTTTCTCATATTTCGAATCAAATAATTAGATTTATGGTTACCAGGGGAGGTTGAAAAGTTCTCGGCTGGATCCACTTCTCAAGATTTGTATTTCAATGGCCAAATATTAGAATACAGATTTGGGAAAATGCGTCGGACAGATAACTTTCATTGCCCGTTTGTTTTGTCACATATATGCTTGCATCAGGTCGTTTTCCAATAGTTTCAAAATTCTTTCTTTCTTTTTTCTCTTTCCTTCTACATTTGTCAATATTCCTGAGATGAGGTATTGTAACTATTTACATCATTCGGACTGTTGTCATCATCTTTATTGTCATATTTTCTTTCTTTCTTTCTTTCTTTCTTTCTTTCTTTCTTTCTTTCTTTCTTTCTTTCTTTAGTCTTTGTTTATTTATTTCTTTCTCCTTTCTTCTCTTTCTTCTTTTTTTTTCTTCAGTCTTTCTTTCACTTTCCTTCAGTTTTCGTTTCTTTCTTTGTTTCTTTCTCCTTCCTCCTTCTCTTTATCCTCTCCTCTTCTCTCTTCTTTTTTTCTGTTTATTTCTTCGTTTCTCTCTTTTTTCTTAACTTCATTCTTTCTTTTTTCTTTCTTCAGTCTTTCTTTCAGTCTTTGTTTCTGTGTTCCTTCCTCCCCTTTCTTTCTTTCTTTCTTTCTTTCTTTCTTTCTTTCTTTCTTTCTTTCTTTCTTTCTTTCTTTACCAGACTTTTAATATCGCCCTCTTATCGTCTGTGTGTGCTTGCTTGTCGGCTGAGGAAGTAGCGAATCTTCGTCGCCGGTAGGCAATTCAAGTCAAAGATATTCATCTGTAATGTTCAGACAGTCGCTTTTTTCTACCATCTCGAAGTCAGCGCTTTCGTGTACTTAAACATGTGATAGGCATGTGGCATAGCCAACTCAGCCTCTTCATATCTCTCAATCTGGCACAAAAATAAAACATCTCAAATACTTCCCAACCTCTTTATTTCTCACTATTTTTTCAAGCACCTTTGTTCCCTTAGAGAATATAACATTAATCAAATGCTTCTTCTCTATGTGGGGAAGATCCTTCGTGAATTTAAAAAGCAGGTTTACCACCGGGGACCCGTGTAAGTGACCCGCCATTGAAATATTTCCCCGAGGAGCATTGTAAGGAAAGGGAAAAGCGATGAATAAAAAAAAGTTATCCACCCCTGCAGGGCAGGGATCTTTATGAATGTTAAACGTACAAACCAAACTAAACTGTAGATCTAAAGGAACAGAAGCGTTACACACACGCGCGCACATAAACACACACAAAACACACACACACACACACAGATAGATAGATAGATAGATAGATAGATAGATAGATAGATAAACCGATTTCTTTTTATGAATTCAAACGTTATTTTTAGTGGATATCCATGATTGAGTTAGACGCCTTTTTTAACAGTGCGTATTATATCTACCAACCTGTGCACTCGAGACAAGAAAATGTGCTCTCCGGTAGGGCTTGAACCTGTGTCGTCTATTTTGTTAGCGAAGCCATATTTAGCTTTTTAAGGAATGCACATCCCTTCGTTCAGATCTTATCGAAAGCCCATATCTATTCGATTTCGCAAAATTATTAAAATTATTACTTCAAACATTGTTTTAGTGCATACATGTGTTTGAGTAGACGTTCCATTTTTAAGACACTGTGCATTACGTCCACCTACTCGCGTACACATATGTAAGTGTATGCGGACACGTGCGTTTTTATGCATTCAGATTAAAACCAAGAAAATAAAACAACTGGGCCAAAACCTATTGCCGTGAACTGCGAGAGATATTTACAAGTCTCGTTCTCATGCCAGTGAGCTGCAATTTTATCTCATGTTATTTTATCTTATCTGCACTGTGGTGCTTTATTTTAATCGTTTTGACTAGTTTCATTTTCCCGCTTTTTTCTTCAACTCCTTGTTTGTATTATGCTTATCAGATCTAAGCATCGTCCTTGTTTTCTCTTATGATATTTGTATAGAGATACGGACATATTTATATATATATATATATATATATATATATATATATATATATATATGTGTGTGTGTGTGTGTGTGTGTGTGTGTGTATATCTGAAATATATATATATATATATATATATATATATATATATATATATGTGTGTGTGTGTGTGTGTGTGTGTGTGTGTGTGTGTGTGTATATCTGAAACTATATATATATATATATATATATATATATATATATATATGTGTGTGTGTGTGTGTGTGTGTGTGTGTGTCCGTATATCTATATATATATATATATATATATATATATATATATATGTGTGTGTGTGTGTGTGTGTGTGTGTGTGTGTATGTCCGTATATTGAAATATATATATATATATATATATATATATATATATGTGTGTGTGTGTGTGTGTGTGTGTGTCCGTATATCTGAATTATATATATATATATATATATATATATATATATATATGTGTGTGTGTGTGTGTGTGTGTGTGTGTGTGTGTGTGTGTGTATATCTGAAACTATATATATATATATATATATATATATATATATATATATATATATGTGTGTGTGTGTGTGTGTGTGTGTGTGTGTCCGTATATCTGAAATATATATATATATATATATATATATATATATATATATATGTGTGTGTGTGTGTGTGTGTGTGTGTCTGTATATCTGAAACTATATATATATATATATATATATATATATATATATATATATATATATATATATATATATTATAATAAAAGTATGTATATGTGTGTGGTTTCACATATACATGCTTTTATATACGCATATATAAGAAAACGTATACACATAATAAACACCTAAATATATATAATTACTTCAAACTTTATTTTTAGTGTATTTGAAGTAAAAAAAACGTCGGGTTCTGAATAAATTCATTGATTCTTATATATATATATATATATATATATATATATATATATATATATATATATATTTTGTTTATACATTAGTTTTATAGGCACAAACATTTAAGTAAATGCTCTGTTTATAATAAACAGTATTAACAACATTTACCGGCCTGAATGTTCGAGGAAAAAAATGCGTCCACCGACAGGAATCGAACCTGTAGCCCATACGGAGCACGTCATATAACCTGACATGCTATTCAATTTAGCTACAGGGGAAGCATCTGGTTAGCATGGTGAAATTACTGTTTTTAATATATTGGGATCAAATATGGATTAGAATCTGACAGAATAATAGGATAATAAACAAATAGGAGATTTATATTGTGGTGTTAATTCTTAATGTGTGTGTGTGTGTGTGCGCGCACGTAGAAGTCCTGCAACGACCCAGACACGCACAAACACACGCACACACACACGCACACACACACGCACACATAAAAAAAAAACAAAAAACAAAAAAAAACGAAAAAATAACAAATAACATAACTAAAAGTACCGGAACTTTATTTTCCATAATTACTTTTCCCAAAAATTTCTGCTGAAGCTTAAATAAAAGCGAAACATGTTAAGGTTTTAAACGTTGCCTATTTGTTCCTTATTATATCTATCTATCTCTCTCTCTCTCTCTCTCTCTCTCTCTATATATATATATATATATATATATATATATATATATATATATGCTGTATATTTTAAATTTAATTTTTTATGTGTTTTGTGCATATAGCCTAGCCTATTTTATTTAGTTTATTTTCATTATTGTTTGCTTTTTTTCAATTTTGTTATGAAGTATCCCACATTGTAATGATAGAAGATCTGTCAAGTAATGTGAAATGTTGCAAGAACCTGAATGCAAATTTACTGTGGATTATCTAGTGATTAAACCACTCTCTAAACATTTCGTCTTAGTAAATTGCATTCTCTTTTAATTAAAGTAACATTTTTAAAATGAAAATTATGGTCAGACTCATTATTGTGAGCAATTAATACATTAAGTGTATGTGTGTGTATTTTGTAAATGATCTCTTTTGTGTTCATATATTTTATCTAAATTCCTTGATGTTTCTCTTATGTATTCCTTGTGACGATTATTAAAGTAAATTCTGCCTTCCAACTTTAGCTTATTGTTTTATTTAGTATTAATTAAGTAATTTATTGTTTTTGAGGTACCTGTAACAAATTTTGTGTTAATTCTTTTCACTTGTAGCTGTGATGGAATTGATTGATAGAACAATATATTTTGATGCATTGGGTTTGTCATAACTGTTAACTCTTTTTTTTTTTCTATTTTGAAATACTTTACGAGCCTTTTGTTTCGCATTGAATATAAAAAAATTAGTGAATTGGAAGAGTTTAAAAGTACTTTCAATGTATTTTTTGTTTCATTTAAATATTTAGTGCTACAAACACTTAATGCTCTTAAATAGAATTCGATGGTTATTCTGGATGTGATTTTGTTGTTATGGTGAGAATAGAAATTTATGAAATCATTTTTATGAATTGATTTGTGACTGACACTTAGTTTTAGGCGATTTTCAAAGCAGACTTTTATAAAAGCTTAAGATTTTATTTTGCAGCAAGTATTAAGAGAAGTAAAATTATCGTTACATTTTTAAACCTTTTATAAATAAATGTTGCAAAATAAAATCCTTACATTTACATTTATTTAAAGTCCATCGGAGGAAAAAACGCGTTGGTAAAGAAAAGTCTTCCTTTCTGGAATATATATATATATATATATATATATTTATATGTTGTAAACTAGACAAGGTTACTGAATGAGGAATAAACAAAACGGAGGTTGCAAATGAAATAGTAATCTTTATAACATCAACAAAATACAATACTCGCCAGCGGCGTGATATAGGTAAGCCATTGCTAGTGGTGGACTACTTAGACAGCATGTTACTCAAACTTACAACGTATTTATGAGGATTGGGACATACCCATAAGTGTTCATAGGTTCCGTATATAACATTATATATATATATATATATATATATATATATATATGTGTGTGTGTGTGTGTGTGTGTGTGTGTGTGTGTGTGTGTGTGTGTGTGTGTGTGTTTGTTTGTGCGTGTGATATGATAGGATAAGGGACAAATAGTAAAAAGTTATAAATTTAAGATGTTTCGCTTTTATTTAAATTTCGTCAGAAATTTTTGGGCTCAGGGACTATTTTTTATGAAGCAAAGCATGTTAAATTTATAAACGTACCCTATTTGTTCCTTATCCTATGATTCTATTGGGTTCTAATCCATATTTGGTCATATATATATATATATATATATATATATATATATATATATATATATATATAATCTGTTTATATACATTTATATGGTTGCAGAGAAAAGAGGAAAGAAGAGCCGGGTGTGGTTTTGACACTTGGCTTACGCAAGTGCAGGTTCGACCATGCGTAATAGAACAGTGAATAACAAATGTAGAATCGTGTAGACAATCCCCTGGGTGAAAGCAACGAAAATAGAAAATAAATTGTGAGAGTGAGTGAAAGATCGAAAGATTAAGTAGAAGAGAAAAGCAATGAATAAGGCGGGAAGGTATTATATAGACAGACCGACAGGTATATACGAGCATAATCATGGCGTAAAATTACCCAAAAGTGTTAATCAAAGAGCTAGATTAGATACAAAAAAAGAAAAAAAGAAGAAGAAAGAATAAGAAAAATGAAAGAAAAGAATAATTTTTCAACCTTCGGTGTTTATCCCCTTTTGGAAATGGCGTAATTGTTATCAACTTAGAAAATGGCGTAATTGTTATCAAAGAAAATGGTCTAACCGGTCGGAGTTTGAATAACGACGGAAAATTATATTATTTTTGCGCTAATACTGTATCTTTTTGGTGTATAAGACGCACTTTCTACACGGAAGTTTGATGTCAAAATCTGTTTATGGCTTAATGCAGCGAATATATACAGGGTGTACCAAAAATACTCTTACAAAGTTTGGGGCGGGTTCCTGACACCAGAACAAGTTAAAATGTCCATATAAACATATGTCCAAAAGGCTATCATTTTACCTCAACACAGTAACTACACACACGCATGCACCCGTCGGATCATGGACAGGAGGATCCTTTCAAATATTCCCACACTGTGTCGAATGGTTTCGCAGCACCACATGACACGTTGATGAAGCGTTTCTGCATTATTAATGTTTGCTGTATAAACCAATTTTTTTAGGTGGCCCCACAGATAAAAATCGAAAAGACTGAGGTCCGGGAAAACGTGCAGGCATGAAACCGATCGTCCCCTACCTGTTCATCTTTCATGGTAGATATCAGCCAGTGCATCGCGAACAATGTGACTAAAATGTACTGTAGCTCCATCATGCATGAACTACATGCGTCTTCGTATTAGCAGGGGTACATCCTCTAGCAGGTCTGGAAGTGTGTTTCGTAATAAAATCCCTGTAGATAGCTACTGTAAGACGTGCTAAGAGAAGATATGGATCTACCAGGCAGCCACCTACAATTTCAGCCCATAGATTAATAGTAAACTTATGTTGGTATTTGGCCTGTATTGTACCATGGGGATTCCGATCCACCCACAAATGTTGGTTGTGTAAATTTTTTATTCCATCTTTTCCATAAAAAAGAGACAAACAACGGATCGGCAGTTTGTGCAATAATCCATCGGCAAAAATTCTCTCGTGGTGAGTAATCAGAGGATGAAATACCCTGCACGCGTTGCAAATGATATGGATACAGGAACTGCAGTACCCTCCATGTGCTACTATGAGGTGTACGACATTTTCGAGCCACTTGACAGGTGCTGATGCCTTGATCGTTTCCAACAGCCTGTAGAATATGTTCTTCATAGTCAGGCGTACGAGCGGATCTCGGTCTTACTAGTTCCATAGGTTGTGGTGTCACGGATCCTGTTTCAGCCATGCGACGATAAGCAGCATCAAAGGTTGGATGACTCGGCTGCCTTCGGTCTAGAAACGCGGTCTGATAAAGTTGTGCAGGCTCTCGTCCATTACCATTCGTGCGGCCGTATATAGAAATAATATCTGCCGGGTCAGTTTATTAATATTAAACAGAACACTTCTCAGTTAACTCACTACTACATACGTTAAACTTTGAAGACAGACTAGCCACAAATGTACACGAATGAGAAATGTAACCTAGTCTACGTGGCATCACATCACCATTTACCGTAAACTTTCTTTAAACTTAATTACTCAAAAACGAAGGATTTGCGGACATATGTCTATATGGACTTTTGTCCTCGTTTTGATGTGAGGAAACCGCCCCAAAATTTTGTAAAAGTATTTTTGATACCTCCTCTCTCTCTCTCTCTCTCTCTCTCTCTCTCTCTATATATATATATATATATATATATATATATATATATATATATATATATGTGTGTGTGTGTGTGCGTGTATATATATATATATATATATATGTGTGTGTGTGTGTGTGTGTGTTTATGTGTGTGTACATGGTGACACAGAAATCACATCAGGATTTACATTTTTAGCAATTTCAACATTTTTATTATTCAAAATTAGTTTTATACAGACAGAAATGTCTTCCCATTTAATCATGAAAAATTATACGACGACAATATCTTCTATTTTCCCTGTCATCTGCATGCGTTGTTTACATAGGTTTCTCCATAACAATATTTAATAACTTACGCTGTAAATCTCGAATTTCTGTACAGATGTTATGCTTTAGTTGCTGAATTGTCTGGCGTTTATTGATTCATACACGCTCCCTAAAATATCCATGAAGAAAATAATCAGGAGACGTCAGATCAGACGAAAGTAGTGACTAAAAAATTGCCAGGAAGCAAAAATTTGGTTAAATCCAAAATAAAATTTCAAGATTTTGGTTCTTTATTCAATGGTGAATTTTTTCAGGGATAATTTTCCTATGTTAATCTAATTTTGTTATTTTATTAAATGTTTGGCACTCTTTTGAAATTAAAAAATTTAAATCAAAATTTGTTTTTTTATATTAAATTTTTGGCACTCTTTCAAAATTAGAAATTTTAAATCAAAATTTGTTTAACTTGACTCGCAACAACTCCAAGCCTCAGAATGAAAAATTAACAAAAATAAGGGAGTTACTCACATTTCGTAAGTGTGGATGATATTCGAGGTACATACAAGGAATATATATGTATATGTATGTATGTATGTATGTATGTATGTATGTATGTGTGTGTGTGTGTGTGTGTGTTCTGGGCTTGTTTATTGGTGTGAACGGAAAATCCATGCTTAGAAATAGCGCACCAAAGCTCGACCCAACCGAAGTGCAATGGAAGAACCTCGCTCTGGGAGAATTTGATGTGAATTTTAGTAAATATAAATTCTTTTTATTTTGGGGTGAATCAATATTTTGTGGATAGTTAACAGAAAAGATTCTTTCCTTCTTCTTTTTTCTTTTTTCTTAGCCACTCTTCGCAAATAGACGAAAGGAGAAACAATACTAAAAACAGAAAAAAAAAATGAATAGGTCTTAACTCTTAACTTAAGAGTAATACTTATGATTAACAATGCCATTAATCGGAATAACCAAGCGGAAAAGAAAGGAAAACTGTAAATATAAATAAATGAATAAATAAAAACAGAAAGAAATAAAGAACGATGGATAAATAAATATATATAAATAAATAAATAAAGATTAGAAAGGAAGAAAGAACGATGGAAAATAAATAAATAAAGAAAGAAAGAAAGAAAGAAAGAAAGAATAAGCGAAAAGAAAACCAAACTAGACAAGTGAAAAATATTACTTTAATAATTTCTTTAATGAAATAAATAAATAAATAGATAAAGAAAGAAAGACAAGATAAAAAGAGGGAAGTTATAAAGTACGAAAGTAGAAAAGGAAAGGCAAAAAAGGAAAAAAAATAAACAAATAAAAAGGGAAACAAAAGATAAACTAAAAAAAAAGAGATAAAAAATATTGCTTTAATGTTTTCTTGAAAAAAAAAAAAAGAAGAAGGAAACACAAGGAATTAAACGGACGATGTCATCTGGTAATGAAAGTGCTAAGAGGTAAAAGAGACGGTAAGAACACTGTGCATAGAATTGTTTCAAATCTCCTAAGTTGTGTTCAGCTGAGCAAATCCAGTAACATATGTTCAGTCTGGTTTGTTAAGAACGTCTCTAAGTTTCTTGCTTGTCGGAGGTCAGAATCTGACTGAGAGGTGACGACAAGTACTCAGGATGTAAAAAGGAACAATTGATTATATCTTCTGCGCAAGATTTTAAGGAATTCCCGAAGCGAGTGAAACGCATTGTCTATAGGCATACACACGTACGTTTGGCTATTTTTAAAATCACTTTCATTCTATCCCAAACATATACACGAGTACATGCGTTAACAACGGAAAAAAAAATTGGTTTTTGCATTTTGTGGTAGATTTGTTCTTTGAAAACCGTTCGCTATCAGATTACAAAAATAGCATAGTTCATCGACCCATTTATATAGCACTGAATACTGGAAAAAAAAGAATCTTGAGGTAACTGAGAATTAGTTTTACAGAGCGATGCTGAGAATACCATGGACATAACATGAGATCAACGGGGAGGTTATAAGGAAAATTAGAAACAAAAAGGACACTTATACTTAGGATCAGAAAGAGAGAGTTGAAATTTTTAGGGAACATAATGAGGAAAAAAGGGGCTTGCGGAATTTAACATTCACAAAACATACTTAAAAAAAAAAAGAACAGAGGGGAAACTGCAAGCAAGCTACCTAATAAACTTGTGTAAATGGGTGGCAGAAAATGGACTGCGAAGCATAGGAAGTTGTAGAGGGCCATGACTGGCGATGTCCTAAAGGGACATGGGAGAAGTTCATCAGCTATAAGCAAATATTCAGAGAGCTATTTTGAAATCAGTTTATCTGCTGCGTTCGTTATTGATAAGGTTTCTGGATATTTCATTTATTCAGTTGTGCCTCATACTTTCGACCTTGTGCCAGACGTATTCCGCTTAGTTCATATAGATATTTAAAAACATTCTGGTGGGTAAAAGTTTGTATTAGGGCTTTAAAAACGGACATTTTAAAAGTATATATATATATATATATATATATATATATATATTTGTATATTTAGGCAGCAATTCTTCCTTTATGCATGTTTCATTAAAAACGACAGACAAGGTACTACAGTTGAGCTTTTTATTTAATTTTTCTTGTGTTCTGACAAGAGCTTTCTTTTCTGAACAAAAGTGTGTAAGAACTGTCCGAATGTTCTGTGTTTCCGAGAAAAATTAAATAAAAAGCTCAACTGTAGTACCTTGTCTGTCGTTTTAATGAAACATGCATATATATATATTTTTTTTAATATATATATATATATATATATATATATATATATATATATATATATATATATATATATATATATATATATATATATATATATATATATATATATATATATATTTCGTATAGAGAAAAACGTTAACATTCTCTTCCTCTCTAGGGTAGGATATCTGACTGATGTCAAATCAGTCAGGTTTCGATCCTGGCTTGAAGCAATCGGACGTCTAGTCACACTGAGGAGCTGTGATACAGCGAAAGAGTATGTGTGTGTATCTATATCTATCTATCTATCTATCTATCTATCTATATGTAAGTGTGTGTCTGTGTCTTTTATCTTTTATTAATGAATAAAACAGCGGGCATATGTAGTAAACGTTATGCTTTTGAAAAAAAATACATCCAATAAATCAGTGTCTAATAAGTATATATGAATTAATATTGCAACTTTTGCAAGAATTAAAGCTACATGTTATGAAAGGCACTAAATTCAAAATTTTCACTTCGTTAAATAAAACAATATTAACTGAGAATATAGTTTATTTATGTCACATTTCTAATCAACGACCTCAACTGCTATTTATTAATTTTTAAACAATAACTTCATTTTACAGGATCTTAGCTGAACTTTATTGTTTTTTTTCTGAAATTTACTGAGTTTGATCTGAATTTACTTGGTTTGGTCTGAACATTGTTGAGTTTGATTTGAACTTTGTTGAGTTTTATTTTAACTTTATTGGGGTTGATTTGAATTTTATTGGGGTTGATCTGAACTTTAGCGGGTTTGATCTCAACTTTGTTGCATTTGATCCAAATTTTGTTGGGTTTGATCTGTATTTTATTGGATTTGATCTGAATTTCTTTGGTTGTGATTAGAATTTTAATGGAACTGATCTGAATTCTCCTGGTTTTGTAAGCTTTGATCTGAATTTTATTAGATTTGTTTTGAAAATTATTGATTTTGATTTTATCTTTGACGGGTTTGATCTGAATTTTATTGGGTTTGATTTTAGCTTTATTGGATTTGACTTGAACTTTATGGTCTTTGATCTGAATTTTATTGTTTGATTAGAAATTTATTAGGTTTGATATGAATTTCATTGGGTTTGATCTGAGCATTATTTTGTTTGATCTAAACTTTATTGTGTCTGATATGAATTTTCTTGCGGTTGGTTCCTTATAGGAATTGATTTGAACTTGTGTTTTTTGATCTGGATTTTATTGTTTGATTTGAAATTTGTTGGTTTTGATATCCATTTTATTAAGTTTGGTCATAACTTTTGAAGTTTGGTTTGAATTTTATCGGATTTGATCTGAATTTTGTTGGTTGTGATCTGAATTTTATTGGGTTTGAACTGAACTTTATTGGGTTTGAAGTGAATTTTATTGAGTTTGTGAGGTTTTATCTTAATTACATTGGCTTTGATTTGAACTTTATTGAGTTTGAATTGAATCTTGTGGAGTTTGATATGAATGTTAATGTTTTGGTCTTAACATTTTCGGGTTGACTTAAAATTATTGTCTTTGATCTGAACTTTATTGAGCTTCATCTGAAATTTGTTGGGTTTTAATTGAATTTTGTTGTGCTTGATCTGAATTTTATTGAGTTTATCTGAACTTTGTTAAATGATTTTGCCTAGGTGTGAGTCTGAAACTTTTCTAAAGATACCCACAAAAGTGTCTAGACAGGGAATGCAAAGAATTTCAGACTATTCCATTTTCTGATTCCTTGTTCATGCGATTGATTCTTTCAAACCGCCCTAGAGAGATACATTTAGCAAATTCTGATAACAGAGAAGATGCAATGTGTAAATACCTGCTTGAGTACACATATTTACCTCTTGTTCTTGTTCCATAGTTTGAGATCTTGACCGAATAAAAACGGCTAGATAGTTCAATGATTAACTTGTAATAATCATGAAAGCCCCCTACGGGTTCATGTAGTGTCCCTTAAAAACTGAACTATGTAAACTAATTCTGCTCAGTCAGAGAAACTATTCCCTTTTCGGTATTCTTAACAATGGCAAAATATATAAAAGAATAAATAAAGAAGCAAGCAAAATCTCCATTTTGTCTACTCATGCGTTGATAGGATGAAATCGAATCGTAAGTCAATTTTTCTCCAATTCTAATTGGAAATGTTTTTTCGTTTACGTGCCTGGTTGATTAAAAGTCGACCGTCCTTAACTGTCATTTTTGCCTGAATGCATCTCAGACGGAAGACGATTTGTAATTTTCCCGCCCAAATAAATACGAGTGAATCCTTCGTAATATCTTTTTGATTGGCCAGTTTTCCACCAATAAGGGTTTTTTTTACTTCTTTATAATGATTCGCATTAAGGAGTCCTTAGAATTGATGAATTGGAGCTAACTGGCAATATGTCTAATAATCATTGCTTCTTTTATAAAAACGGTTTTTGTTATCTCTCTCTGTCCCTCTCTTTTTCTCTCCTTTCCTTATTCCTCCCACTTTCTCTTTCTATCTCTTTCACTTTCTCTTTATTTCTCTCCATTTATCACTCTGTCTCCTATATTCCCCTCGATGTCTCTTTCTATCTGTCTCTATCTCCTTATACCTCTCCCTTTCTAAATTTCTCTCACTCTATTCCTCTAACTTTCTATTTCTATCAATCTATCTTTCTCTCTGGTTTTCTCATTTTCTCTCCTTATTCTTCTCACTTTCTCTTTCTACCTCAGTTTTTTCTATTGCTTGTCCTTTCTCGATCTCTCTCTCTCTCCTATATTTTCACTTTCTCTCCTTATCTCTTTCTATCTATCCCTCTACCTTTCTTCCTCTTTGCTTATTCCTCTAACTTTTTATATCTCCCTTTCTCTTTATTTCTTTCCTTTTCTCACTATATCTTTTTATGCCTCTCTCTTTCTCATTCTGCATACCTCTCTTTATCTCATAAAATACTACACTAATAATAAACTATCCTAAGTAAACTTTATCGATATTCCACCTAATTTAATTTAGAAATGTTATCAACAGTTTGCTTTTCTGAAAGTCCACTAATATTCTTCAGTTGGCTATTAGTGCAATTTAGTCTGGTACATGGTAATAGTATCGATGTAAATATTATTAAGAACACGAGACTAAATCTCTCAATATTTAAAGTGTTGTTTCTTCAGCTGATTGGGGTTTTCTTTTTTATTTTTGTGATCATTTAGTTTTATTATGTTTTGTACATTTTATTAATCATTTTTAGCGATTTTTTAAGGCAATTATATATATATATATATATATATATATATATATATATATATATATATATATATATATCTTTTTTTTTTTACCTATTGCGCCACTGATATTGGTCTCAGAAAGAGATTGAAAGTATTTCGGAAATAAAAGTGATTCTCACTGTTATAATGCATTTCTTGTCTTGTTTAATTATAACATACAGAAAAATATTCGTGAATATGAAAGGATTATGATAAAAATAAGCAGACATAATGTTTGTAATTTATTCAATCAGACATGCCTACATATACTAAATATATAAAAAAAAATTTACCGTCTAGGTAGGCAAGGTAGTCAGTGCCTACTCTGAATTGGGCACAATATTCACCTAATCCAACAAAATTATGAAGGCTACTCTGATTATTATGCATAAAATGCATTTAAATTTTTATTTTTTTTTGTAAATTTACTATACAAAGGTCACAAGCTGTATACCCTGAATAATTACTGACATATATATCATTTCACCCCAAGCAACGCAATAAAGCGACTAAGACTTAGGGGGCCGCAGTGTGTGAGAAATATGAGAGAAAGAAAATTTTATCAAGAAGAAAGAATAAAAGAACAAGAATTAAGAAGACAGAAGATAACAATTGACATTGTATTTGAATTTTTGAATATTTTAATATTTATAGAAAAGTTACAGGGAAGCTACGTTATGGCGGCGAGAAATTAACTGAATTCTTCTCTGTATTTTATCAAGAATTTCTAAATACATAGCAG